CAACAACTAGAAGACGGATTCTGTGGAAAAAGGAATCCCTCCTCAAACAATTGGATATGTCCAAACACCCATTCCAATGAGGAATCCTCAATCACAATCTTCATTTAAAATTGAAGCCAGCAAATTCAACGGATAGTCTATTTTGATTCAACGGATAGATTACCCAATCCAGCTATAAATAGCATCCTTGGAAGACTGGAAGAAAGAAAACACAACGAAGCAATCTCAAACTACAAATCTATCTCATTCACAGTTAGCCAAAAAGCTTGAAAAAGAGAGATTTCTAAACTCCTTATCCAGAAGCAAACTTCTCCTCCTTCCAAAGAGCTATAGTGTAAACACTTGAAGGTTTCCTTGCCTCAAGTACCACACCACGTTGAAGGATATAACTTTTAATCAAACTTCTTGATTAAAAAGGGGGTACATCAACTTTCCTACAAGTTGATCTTGCAAGTCCTATTGTTCGGATCTTGTAGTTGTTGAAGAAGCTTGACCTTCGAAGGAACAACAAAGCCAGCACGAGTGTAGTAGCAACTTTGGCCTTGCGAAGATATACCGTGCAGAACTCAACAACCAACTACATAGTGGATTTTGAGGACGTAGAAGGATTTTCCCACCTTCGAACCTCGTTAAAGTTTGCGTGTCTCTCTCTTTTATCTTTACTTATACTTGCAATTATATTAACTGTGAAAACTAACCTATCCATATTGATTACTGCTCAATTACCCACCAACTTCCGCACACAATCTAAGGTTCACAAGAACTCTAGATTAAACACTCATTTTCACGTTTTGAAAAAGAAACGAAAAAGTTTTTAAAATTATAACAAAGTCTATTCACCCCCCCCCCCTCTAGACTTTGTATCTCACCACTTTGGGACCACCATAATCAAATCATGACACATTTAAAATCTTTATGATCAAACATTTGTCTGCCATCCTTGCATCTCCTCTGACTCAATGCCCTCCGGGAGTTGTTCCGTTCTTGTCTTCTTGTTACCTACGTGTAGTCAACGAAAAATACAAACTACACGCTCAGCGAAACCGCTGAGTGGTACCATGCTAGAATTGTAGAATAATTCACAGACATATACATATACATATATATATGTCCACAAAAATGTATAACAATATTCATCATATGGCACATTATATAATATGATCAAGTTGATAGTTTATGATGATGGATATTTAATGATGATTACCTGATGGCATATTTAATCAATATAATTATTCTTGATGATGATTACATGACACCTATGTAATCAATATAGTTGTACTTGATGATGATAACATGATTGCACATTTAATCAATTTGATTATTCTTGATGATGATGATTACATGACACCTATGTAATCAATATAATTGTACTTGATGATGATAATATGATGCATGAACCTATAACTTGCAAGGACGACCCTTGCGCTATGAGATTCGCCCAAGTTGTACGACGAACTCACGCCACCTTAGTCTCACGAATGAGGTGAGACTAGAAACAATATGGGGGTGGTACTCGAAAGCCTGAATACCATGTACGTACACTAAGCCCGAACGTGTGATGTCGGACTACTAAGTCCCACACAATCACGCTATAAGAGACGCACGAGGCATGATCTCTTACGCATGCATATGATGTGATATGCTTCAAGATGAATGATGAAATGAATGATATGATATGAACAATTTGTAAACAATATGAATATATAATCATGCATAAATTTATTTGGATAAAACATGATTAAAATATCATTTAATCAAGCTACTGGGCTCGGAACGGTCGACCGTTTGGCACGGCGGTCGACCGTGCTTTGATTAAATTCGTCGGATTCTGGTGTACCGTGACGGTCGACCGCGGTTGACCGGCGGTCGACCGTTGTTGACTGACTGGAAGTGGCGGCCCTTGGCTAGACAGGCGGCGGTCGACCGTTTGGCTGACAGTCGTGGTCCGTTTCAATAATTTTATACGACGGTCGACCATTTGCGTCGACCGTTTGGGTCTGCGAATCTTACTCTTGATATTTTGGGTGTCTAACACCTTTGATTAACATATATATACATGTTGTTGGGTTGATTTCCAATATTTATATTTGTTTATGTATATTTATTAACTTTTGGTGTATTTTGATCTTAACACATGGATGACTTATATATGTATCACATATAGATTTTTGGGATGATTTCAACATATGGATTAATATATATGTTCATGTACGTATGTGATGAATGATTCGACAAGTCTAACGCAAGGGTACAGACCTTGAAATCATCGGCCGAAACCTTACGGACGAGCGGTAGTGAAAACAACATCGAAATTCACCAACTTTGTCATTCCCGTCACAGTTGGACAGCCTGCCGTATTTTGGGCATATCTCCAGCGTTTCTTCACGGAATTGCAAATCGTTTGATTCTGTGGATTATTAAGATGTAAGGCTATAACTTTCATGAAGAAACCATGTTAAAATAATGCATTTAAAGTGGTCAAATATAGCTCACAAGTGGACTAATATGTGTTGCCAGGATTCTGATATTTCGATGAACAACGATTCCGACGATCAACTCATCAATTTCAATATTCCAACATCGAACCTTCTCTATGATACCTTCCGGATGTTCCTTGAAGCTGCTGCGTTTGAGCTCAGGATTTTGGAAACTTTGGATGGTTTCTTGCTTGCTTCTCCTTCTTCCTTAGCATACATTCATGGAGTTGGTGTGTATTTCTCCCTTGGCTTGCTGCCGATAAAGAGGGAGATGGAGAGGAGATGGATGGATGAATGATGGTGGATGATGTATAATGATGAAGATGGTGGTGGAGTATCATATATTTATTTTTGGAGTGTTGTGTTAGTGGAGTTAGAGGAGAGTTGAAATTTTGGGTTTGTGAGTAGCAAAAGGAAACTACGTGATTGAGGAATGAATTTGATAAATAAAGTTTTGGCTTTTTGCCAAAACTGAACAATTTACTCCAAACGGTATGCGTTTTTTCGCCCAAACTGCTCCGAATTGAAAACGAATTGTATTTTTGGAATCAGACTGTCAAAACTAGAATTTTGACGTAATCAAAATATTTTTCTGTAAACTTTTATTTTTTAATGTCTAGGTCTGTCTCAGACTCTCAGTCATAAATTAATTTAATAATATGAATGAGATAAAAATATATGGATTGTATCCCAATGATGAATATGGTATTGTTAAGTGTCAAAAATTAAGATTTCTAATCTTATGAAATCACTTTTGAATTGAGTTTAATTTATGGGTCGAAGTTATAAATTTTAATATTTAAAATCATCATAGCTTGAAATTTATAAATCAGGTTAATTCATAAAATGTACTGTTGGATTCGTCTCTTCGAGACATATCCATAAAAATAAGTTTTTAACAAAAAGTCATTATTTTGAAAATCCATTTATTTTTGGTCAAATGTATAAATATTCCTTATTGGACAAAAACTACTTTTGTTTTATAATAAATTTTAGGCCATATTTTGTGGCGTTACACACCATATACAGACTAAGTGTGTTACACACATGCACAAATAAAAGTTGTTAGTGCATCGCTCAAACAATTACTATTGTTGTGTGTTTGTAACAGACTTGGTATCATAGTGGTAGGGCTGTTCACATTTAGGTCTGGGATGAAAAAACCGACCGAATCGGACCATTAGGTCCAGACTGAACCCGGACCGAATGGATTTTGGTTCGGTCTTCGGTCCAGAAAATTTAAGCATTCGGATTTCGGTCTGGTCCGGTTCAAACCCGAAATGATTTAGGTCCAGACCGATTGGACCTAATGACCCTATTGGATCTAAAAGACCTAAATACTAAAACTCCACTTTTTAAGTTCCGTATTACACTTTGATGCTCTATTTTAATAGATATTTTAATTTATTTAATTAAAAAGGTTTTTTATTAAGTAATTTAAAAAAACTAAAAAAAAACGTTTCATATTTGTTTTTATGGTTCTACATTGATGTAGTTTATTTTGTGTATCCATTTTAAGGTGGCCTATTTTTTTATTCATTTTCTATTTGAATGGTATAAAGTAAAAAGTCTAAAATATATTTAATTGATCAAAATAATTAAAAAAATATGTATTTTTTCGGTCCAATCGGTCCGGACCAGTTCGGTCCTAAATATTTCGGTCCGATCCGGTCCAAACCCGAATAAATTTAGGTCCGATCTTCGGTCCTTGAATTTACTCATTTCGGTCTTCGGTCAGGTCCGGGTCAGTCCGATTCGGTCCGGTCTTAGACCGATGAACAACCCTACATAGTGGTGTATAAGGGTGTTCAATCGGATCGATCCGATCCGAAAATTCAGACATCCGAAAATTTTGGATCATGTAAAACTCATTCCATATCCGATCCAAAAATATTAGGATATCCGAAATTTGAATATCCGAATTTTCGGATCGGATCACTGGATTATCCAAAAATTTGACTTTTTAGCCAAAATTTACAAAAAAATGGGTAAAATAGCAAAAGCAGCCCACAATATCAAATTTAATATAGATTTACTATAAGCAAAATTCCACCACTAGGTAATGGCCTAATAAAAAAATTATACCAAATTCAATTTGAGAGTAACTTTGGTAATTTTGCCTAAACAAACCCAAAAAAAGCACTACTAAAATAAAAAGTTCCAAAATACTAATGCAAAAAGTCCAAAATGCTTGAGTTCCAAAATCAACATAAAATTACATTAAACATATAGCCATAATATGTATCCATAAAATTCCATTAAACATATAGAAAAAAATCGGATATCCGATTATCCGAAAAATTCCAGAAATTGAATCCATATCCGATCCATGTTTTTTCAGGTATTCGATCCGAAATATCCGAAAGCTAAAATATCGGATCGGATATCCATTTTTCGAATCGAATCTGCTCGGATCGTGGACGGATATTTCGGATCCCATATTTTTGAACACCCCTGGTGGGGTACTTACCACTACCACCTACGTTATTGGAAGTCCAAGCATTGTAGTAAAAAGAAGCTACAATCTCAATGGGTCGGACATGAGTACATGACGATGAGGGGCTACATTTACAAAGCCGTTTCCGATCATCCCTGCCACTCTCTTCTCAGCTCACTCTGTCCTCTTCTCCTCACACGCTCCTTCAAAACTTCCGGCTTCCACTCTCTTCCCGTTCTCCCTCTCTGTTCCAGACCCCTTCGATCAATCCGTTCTCTCTCGGCCAAGTCCCGCTCTTTCAAATTCGCAACAACCACCATGCCCGCACACTCCAGATCTCTCCATCAAGCCACTCCCACTTCCGTCGGAAGCGAGGTGGTGCCACCTCGACGACGGTCATCGCCCCGACAACGGAATCTACTAGGAACACGAGGTATGCTACTAGTACTTCCAAAAGAGAATGTCTTTTGATTAACATAGATTGGAGAACTCTAAAAACAACTTAACCGAACACCACGGAACGACGTAGAACGCTACATAATAAACCTATATCGAAAATTGAATCTGTCGACTAGTTACTGTAAATTTGAAGTGCTTATTTAATGTTGTATATTGATGCTTCTGTTCGCTATCTACATTGTTCTTAAATTCCTAATTACGACTGGAGTTTGAGTAGGTGCTTTTTTTAGTTACTAACAACTAACACTCAAGTTATTGTTCTATAGTGTTCCAGTGACCTACTACAGCTCACATGTATTAAGATTTCTGGTGAAATCTACACATCCTTTACCAATTTCCCTAAAAATGTTATGTCATTTTAAAGGGTTCCTACATTGTGCTTGACAAAATTTCTTTTATTTCTATCCTATGTGCTCCATCTTCAATGCTTTATCTTTACTAACTAGACTCAAGAACCTTTTCAATGACATTGTTCTTCACTGTCATCTACATCACATATTTGGTTAGTTGTCCTCGATGGTTTCTTTTTGTTCTTAAAATGTTCTCGCTAGTTATAAGCTTCCTTAAATACCCCATTTAACAAAAAACTCCATGCCTGTACTATATAATGCCAGTTGTGGGCACTGTGCCCGACGACTACTCACTTTTCAATACTTTTCTTAAATTTTGTGAAGTTAGACCGTAAATTTCATTCTAGGACAGAATATGGGATCTAACTGGGTTGTTGTTGTGTGTACACACACAGTACACACACATATATTTGTGTGTGTGTGTGTGTTGTTTCTGATCACTTGAAGTTGTTCGATGGTTCTTTTATACTATATGGAGTATATATTTTTTTTTCTCTGTGAATAACTTTTCTAATTACTTGAAATTAGGAGGCACTGGGTATCGCCTTCCTCCATCAGAGATTCGAGATATTGTAGATGCTCCACCTGTTCCTGTACTATCATTTTCTCCCAAAAGGGATAAAATATTATTCCTCAAGCGAAGATCGTTACCACCCTTGTCAGACTTAGCAAGACCAGAGCAGAAACTGGCTGGTATCCGTATTGATGGAAAAAGCAATTCCCGGAGTCGTATGTAAGTTTTGAAATTAGGAGACTTTCATCAAGCTTGAACATAAAATGACTCATATTATTTATAATTACCAGGATTTGGATAATTCTTTATAAATACCAGTGTCGGGATAATTCTCTATTCATATTCTTTATACTCCGTAGTTACCAGGGTCTGAATAATACTTTATACACTTTTGAAAAGGAGCTAAAGAATATGGACATATTACATTTTCAGGTCATTTTACACTGGTATAGGGATCCACCGGTTAATGGAGGATGGTACTATTGGACCTGAAAAAGAGATTCACGGGCTTCCAGAAGGGGCTAAAATCAATTTTGTTACATGGTACTTCCACAAAAGACAATTTGTCTTTTTCTTATATGCTTTAATATATAATTTACATTCTAATTGTTAATTCTTTGCAGAGTCAGGACAGTAGATTTCTGCAGAAACATCTCTTCTTTTTGTATAACTTATTTCTTATTTCATGTGAAGGTCAAATAATGGTCATTATTTAGCCTTCAATGTCCGAGTTGAAGAGGTACTTCATTCATTGGCTTGGTAGAGAGTTATAAATGATGCCCCATTCTATTGCCCATCTGTTTCTAACAGTTCATTACAAATACTTATTGTATTGGCCTATTGTACATGGAAATCCATTTATGAAGACTCGTTGCTACTTCATCTATCTCTAATAGTTAAATAAATATTTTTTTCCTCATGCATTTTGATTTTAAATTATGCCAACTCTCTTAATCATTATCTAATGGCTTATAAGGCAGCTGCCAGTGGTACATTGTCAATGGAGCTAAAAGACTCGTACTTGACTGTTTTAGTATTGGGTGAACAATGACTAAATAAAAATGACACATTAAACCTCATTTGCTTCTTACTCTCAATGAAGCTTTGGGTAGTATCCGTAGTAATGCAGCCATGCATCAAGGGCCTAACTTAAACAACCTCTTTGTGTTTCAAAGGGGCAATCTGCATACAACTTGGTCCCCACACCCCAACAAAGTTGGGAATATACTGGGTTGTTGTTGTTGTTGTCTTGTTCTTGTTGCCTTATCAGCCACCAGAAATTATGGTGATCTGTACCTCAAAATCCATTTATTTCATACATCACAGTATCTCTGTATAACGCAAAACCCTTTGCCTGGATTGGTATAATCTTTTAGCTGTTTTCCTTGGACAGGAGGCCATCACCAGTAGTAAGTTGAATGTATGGATTGCTGATGTGGAAACAGGAACTGCTAGACCACTATTCCAGTCTCCAAATGTGTACCTAAATACTATTTTTGACAAGTACGTCCTCCTTATCTATTACAGGCATTGAGTAACTTTAAACATTACTCCCTCGGTGCTGATTTATTTGTCCACTTTCCTGTTTCTGTGCATCCAAAATTAATTGTCTAGTTTTCATATTTTATAAACAAAGAATGGTGGGTAGTCTAAAGTAGTCTCTCCAGAGCATATGAGCATTGTTGGCTCAATGAATGATTAATACATTTAAACGATGCATTTAACTTTTCATTCTCACTAAACAATAAAAGGTCTTTTCACATTTTGAAACCGGGTATCCAGTATAGTTTTGAAAGGTGATCGCCTCCCTCGCCTAAGGCGCCTCAGGCATCCGGGCGACCTTCTATCGCCTGTAGAGGTTCAGGCGAGCGCTGTACGCCTTTCTCGCCTAAGTCGCTCGCTTCTCTCGCCTCAATCAGCGCCTCAGGCGCTTGCTTTTCTCAACTTACTGTAGTTCTGCTATGGGCCTTTTAAAAAATAGCCTGGCAATTCTTTTAAGGAAAGGACTAGCATCGTAAACGCTACTCATTTACACCCTAGCACGACTACGCCTACCAGAATCAAGTCAATCGACCCAACAACTCTACCTCGTCTCCTCTTGTCTTATCGGACACTCAGGTGATGTCTCCTCTCTCTCTCTCTCTCTCTGGTCTCGTCTCCTCTCTCTCTCTCTTTGATATCTCTTGTCAGCTTCCTCTATTGTCTCTGTTTCTTTTTGCAGTTCTTTTGCTGCCTACTTTTTTTACCATTTTTTTTATGCTTCACAGGTTTATTTTGTGACGAGAGGAGAGCGATGATGAGTTTGAGAATGATTTCAAACCTCTTATTCCATCAAATATGATGGATAATAATGGATTTCCCTTTGTGTGATGATGATTATGATTAGGCTCTGAGAAACATATAGAGTAACTACTCTAATTGTTTTGTTTAACATGTATGACTTGCTTGGGATTGACATTTTTAATTGCACTGCACCATATATTTTATGTATGTGTGTGTATGCTCCAAGTTTGCCTTTTGGCCGCCTGCCTCTCGCCACGCCTTTTGCCTTAAAAAGCCCCTCTGGCCTTTTGCCTTAAAAAAGGCCTTCTTGCCTTTCAAAACTATGGTATCCAGAGAGAGGGAGTATATTATTATTATTTTAATTATTATATAGCACAAATGGATCTTTTGACATTTGTTATCAATGTCATAATATGACATGGGCACCTACAATGCCCCGTTCACAAATTTGATTGTTTCTGGCCCGCTTAATGTGAAATCCGATTTTCAAAAAACATATCACGGGTTGTGTGACAGAAAAAAATTAAATTGAGATAGGCAATTAGGCACAAAGAAGTTATACCAAGAGGCGTAATGCTTCACGCTTTAGATACATGCGGTTTTCGAACTCTCTTTATGGTATGAGAAGAAGGTTTCCACCAAGAACTCTTGCACAGTCTGTCTTTCGATTTATCCATCTTCTTGCTGTTTATCTTCAGCGCTCAAGTGTCTCTTCTCCGTCAAGAACTCTTACACAGTTGAGTCTACTTGTCCTCTGGGATCTAGCGCATCTTCAGTTTTTTTTAAAAAAAACTTTATGCCGTATTCATTCAGCCTTTTATCAATTTTAATTACTCTACAACATCTGCATATAAGCATAATCGTTCAGCCATTAATTAATTTAACTCATGTACACCACTAGCCATTTTTATAGGCAACACTAGCTTGTTTTTTATTCCTAATTTTAATTCACTTAGGCTACATTCTGTTTGCCTGTTATTATTAATTCTGATATAATTTTTTCAAGGTTTGGTTTGACTGGATCTGATGTGATTGAGTAATATTCTCAAGTTTAACCACCATGTTAGTAACACCTTGCAACCCCTACAATCCCTTCTTTGTTCAATTGTTTGCACAAGGAGGTAGTCAATTTGTGTGCTATGCCACCCACCCCTAAACGTGGTCCTAATAGTTGGGGCTTTCAGTTGAAGTTTTTTGAGCTGATGGTGTGAATTGTGTGTTTTATAGTCTCTGATGACCTATTTATTTATAATGACCTATTTATTTATATGAAACTTGCAATTTTCAGTCTTGTTTGGGTGAATGACTCAACTCTATTGCTTTGTACCATCCCATTATGTCGTGGAGATCCACCTGTGAAGCCTTTGGTTCCATTTGGACCTAAAATTCAATCCAATGAGGAGAAGAATATTATTCAAGCTAGAACTTATCAAGATCTTCTCAAAGATGAATACGATGAGGATCTTTTTGAGTACTATGCTACCTCACAGCTGGTCTTGGCTTCTTTAGATGGGGCAGTGAAGCCTGTTGGGCCACCAGCCATATACACATCAATGGACCCCTCTCCAGATCAGAAATTTATTCTCATCACTTCAATTCATCGCCCATTTTCTTTTATTGTACCATGCGGAAGATTTCCTAAAAAGGTTGATGTGTGGACGGCTGATGGGACATTTGTGAGAGAGCTTTGTGATTTGCCCCTTGCTGAAGACATTCCCATTGCAATCAATAGTGTACGAAAGGGGATGCGTTCAATCAACTGGAGAGCTGATAAGCCTTCAACAGTTTACTGGTGCGTATAAATGTATAATGTAATGCCTGATGTGATTTTTTAATTTTTAGTTTTTATTTTTAAGTGTTAACTTAAAAAATGAGTTGTAGCAATATCTATGGATGTGAAGTGAAAATTAGTATTCAATTCAAATAAATAAGGTATGTCAATTGAACCAATAGAGCCCTCAAAGGAGTTAAGATTTAATGTAAGCTTTTGAAATTAATGGATTTAGCAGCACAATAATTTTTTGTGTTGTTAAATGACAAGGGTTGAGGCACAAGATGGCGGTGATGCTAAGGTCGAAGCCTCTCCGCGTGATATAATCTACTCACAGCCTGCTGAGCCACGAGAAAATGAACAGCCAACAGTCTTACATAAACTTGATCTTCGATATGGGTACATATACTAGTTTTTGTTCTCAATTACCCCTACTATATATTTCTGCTGTTCTGCCAATTCAACAGTTTATCTGTATACTTATTCGGATTTCTATTCTTAATAAAACACTTGTTGAAACAACAAAAGCCCCACCTTGTGATCAACAAAAGTACTGCAAATACTTATGCTAAAGCATACCATGACTACATTATGTGAATCCATGTGATATGGTGGAGTCTTATGCATCACCAGAAGTTTATTAGTGATGCTTTCGGCATTGGATGATGCAATGTATTGCGAACCAAGTCATAAGTTACATTACGCGTCTGTTGAGAATTTAATCAGTTGTCCTGACCTGGCTCTTTTGATTGACTACCTATGTCCTATACAGAGGGATTTCTTGGTGTGATGACTCTCTTGCATTAGTCTATGAATCTTGGTACAAGACGAGGATTGTTAGAACTTGGGTAATATCTCCCGGTTCCAATGATGTAAACCCACGAATACTGTTTGATCGGTCATCAGAAGATGTCTATTCTGATCCCGGTTCTCCCATGTTGAGGAGAACTCCTGCTGGGACTTATCTGATTGCAAAGATGAAGAAGGAAGACAATGAAAGCACTTACATTTTATTAAATGGAAATGGTGCTACACCAGAGGGAAACATTCCATTTTTGGATCTATTTGACATGTATGTTTGATACAGAGTACTTCTTAACTTGTTTTCTATAGTATAATGACAATACTGACACCAGTGCTTTCAGAAACACAGGCAATAAGGAAAGGATATGGGAGAGTGATAAGGAACAATACTATGAGACAGTAGTTGCTTTGATGTCTGATCACTCTGAAGGGGAGTTGTCTCTTAATCAATTAAGAATTCTGACTTCTAAAGAATCTAAAACTGAGAACACTCAATACTACATTCTGAATTGGCCAGAGAAACAAGCACACCAGATTACAAATTTTCCCCATCCATATCCCCAGTTGGCATCATTGCAAAAGGAGATGATCAGGTATCAAAGGAAAGACGGAGTTCAACTTACTGCAACCCTTTATCTTCCACCTGGTTATGATCCTTCACGGGATGGGCCGCTTCCATGTCTTTTCTGGTCATACCCCGGAGAATTTAAAAGCAAAGATGCAGCTAGTCAGGTTCGGGGTTCTCCTAACGAGTTTGCCGGCATTGGGCCAACTTCTGCATTGCTTTGGTTAGCAAGGAGGTATACTTTTCATGCTATGTTTCTTAACCAACCTTTGATATAGATAATTTGATTCTACCCTTTCCTAGGTGTTTTGCTTTACCTAATTTATGTTCTCCATTTTGGTAGGTTTGCCATATTATCTGGACCAACAATACCAATCATAGGTGAGGGTGATGAAGAGGCAAATGATAGGTGATACACTCTCTAAAATAAATGAAGAAAATGCATTTGTTCAATGAATAAAAATGAGCTTCCGTAATTGAAGAATTTCAGTCAGTTAAAAAACTGTATTCACACAGGTATGTTGAACAACTTGTTGCCAGTGCAGAGGCTGCAGTAGAAGAAGTCATTCGCCGTGGAGTAAGTTTTTATTTTCCCATTCGGCTTTTCCTGTGTTAGTGGGATTGTCAAAATGATTGAACCCTTTTGGTGCTTCTGTAATTCAGGTGGCTAACCCAAACAAAATTGCTGTCGGTGGTCATTCTTATGGGGCATTTATGACGGCAAACCTCCTTGCTCATGCACCACATCTTTTCTGTTGTGGAATTGCACGTTCTGGAGCTTATAACCGAACACTAACACCTTTTGGATTTCAGGTAGTAACAATGCATTACATCACCATTAGCAGACGATTGCGAAATTTATCATACAGTTTTTCGCAAATGCTCTTGAATTTACCTATCTGTATCCTGTATGGGCTTGACTAGTCAACTTGTTTCTTTTGTACTCCGGGTAATACTTGTATTTTGTTGCATTCTCTCTTTAGAATGAGGACAGAACACTGTGGGAGGCGACTAGTACATATGTTGAGATGAGTCCATTCATGTCGGCTAATAAAATAAAGAAGCCAATCTTGCTTATCCATGGAGAGGAGGACAGCAATTCAGGAACCTTGACAATGCAGTCAGATCGTTTCTTCAATGCCTTAAAAGGTCACGGGGCGCTCTGTCGCCTCGTAATTCTACCATTCGAGAGTCATGGTTATGCAGCACGGGAGAGTATAATGCATGTTCTGTGGGAGACTGATAGGTGGCTGCAAAAACATTGCGTAGCAAATACGTCAGAAGTCAATGCAGATATCGGTTTAGCTGCAGAAGGTGACACAACCAAAGGAACTGTAGCTCCAGAAAGCCAAGCCGTGTGTTCAGGCCTCCCTTCAGGGGGAGGAGGTGGCATATCAGAACTTGAAAGTAACAATGACAGTTTTCCTTTATTATGGAGGTCATCAATGTGGNGGGGTGTACACCATTTTATGCTCATCTCCATCTTCTCATTTACTCTGATTTATTCAATTTGTTTAGATTTCACATATGAGCTGGAGATCGGGTTGCAAATGTGGAAGTGGATTAGTGCTATGAGTGACAGTCTCTTCTTGACAACCCCCACTGCTGGTTATAGAGAGAGGGAATGTACTTGGCGTATGGTGTCTTGATCCTAAATGCTTTCCTTCTTTGAATGGTGCCATTTCAACCCATTGTTTACTCCCTACTATTTGCAAATGATGATTAAATATTACTCTATTATTTTTGGAATTGTAATTTTATCGCATTGGCAAAATATACAAGCACGCCAGGTAGAATAAAGCGATGAAAACAGTTATATGTAAATGATACAGCAAGTCGGAAGCTGCTCCAATGGAAACCCCGAGAGCTTCGATGTACTGTACAATGGAAGAGAATAGAGAATAGAAATGAGTGATTCTGAGAAGGGGTTTGTATTATTTTTCATGTCTTTCAATACTGGGGTTACCAACTACTCTTCAAAATGATTTACCTCTTTACTATTTGAGTCTCTTGATAATGTTTGTTTTTATTGATCATCTGATAAAAAAAAATTTCATGTCATTTCTTATTCTATACTCCCTCCGTCCCGTTTTATATTACCTGTTTTGATTTTGAGGCATACTTAAAGAAGAGAAAATATCATTTTGACTTTTAAAAAATGTCTTAGGGGCTGTTTGGCAACTTCTGAATAAGTAAGTGCTGAACCAGTATTAAGTGCTGAACCAGTAAGAGGTCTGAACCATTAAAAGCTAGCATATTGTTTAACTATTCATAGGCAAATGTCTGATCAATTCAGATAAGAGGTCTTAACCATTCAGACTCTGTATAATACTCAACCATTTAGAGGCAAAAGTCTGAGCTATTTAGACATCTGAATCATTAAGAGACTGAAAGAAACAGTCTGAACCATTAAGTGCTAAACCATTTATACATCTGAACCATTAAGAGGCTGAAACAAACAGTCCCTTGCTTTTTTACGGGGGGCGGCGATGAATGAGAAGATAAGGTGGAGAAAAGTCACTTATTTTAGGGTAGTTTAGGTATTTTATTTTTAAAAGTGTATTATTATAAGAAAAATGTAACTTATTTTAGAATTGATAAAAAAACAGACAATTTAAAATGGGATGGAGAGAGTATATTTTTTGATGTAATTTTTAATCACGTAAATTTTTTTATGTCAATATGTAAATAAAATTATTTTAAAAATCACGGGATTTTGTAAGTCGTTCGAACAGAAAACTTCTTTTAGGGAAGCTAGTATTTATCTTCTTAAGAGTTGGTAAAAAATTTAAGAGTAAATTTTATAATTGGTTCTTTGAGAGTTTCCATATTTACCTCTATTATTAAATATTATCCCCGTAGTCTTTTTTTTAAGGGTGTCTTTTCACAAATAGTCCTTTTATTGATCTTCTGCCATGTTGGTGTTAATTTAAAGGTTAAAAGTATAATTTGACATCAACATTGTGTCTAGTGACGTGTTCTGATAATGGTTAAACGGATAACACAAAAATAATGACTATGATTGTGGGCAAGGATTCTGACGAAAGACCATATTTGTAGATTATGGTTGTAGTAGAAAGCGACTGTAATTCACAAACGACGCAAACAGAACAGCCTTTGAAATTGTGTATGACAAAATAGATATATTATCATTATGAAATTACACATTTAGCCCTCAAATTAACACCAACATAATTGAAGATAAAAAAAACTATTTGTGGAAAGATACCCATAAAAGAAGGACCACTAGAGTAATATTTGATACTCCGTAATACGGAACTAAATAGGGAAAACCCCATGTTATAAAAGATCAATTATGGAATTATTCTAGTTTTAACATATTAGTTATAAACAATTAGGCTCCGTTTGGTACACGGAATTCAAACTATGGAATTGGAATTGAAGACTTCAATTCCAATTTTGGTGTTTGGTAGCACAAAAATTATGTGGATTTGGAATTGATAGTGCAAAAAATGAATGGGAATTGGTAGATTCAATTCTATGGAATTGAATCTCATGAAATTTCAATTCCAATTCCATCAATTCCGTATATCAAACTAATTACAATTCATTACAATGGACCCACAAGTAGGATATTACAAGTATTGTATCACAGTATCTCCCGATTCGCAACCTTTGTCCTCAAGCTAAGGTTGAAATTCTGGGAATAAGCCTGCGCATCTATTATTTTTATGTAATGTTTAAAATTGATCGATCTTGGTAATGGAATACATATCGACAAAAGAGAAGTAGAGATAAGCTCTAAAAAATTGTTGCCAAGTTTCTGGCAATTTCTTTCAAGTTTTTTCTGGGTGACAATGCTCTGGTGTTCTCATTCGTTGGTGTGTGGTTGGTTTTTACAACTACTGCACACAATAGCAATTTTATTCTTGGGAAAAGATGTCCACGTCCTCTGGTGTGGTAGGCCTTTTGTGAGAATTGGTTCCTCAAGGACTCTAAGGAAAATAAGGGGCTGTTTGTTTCAGCCTCTTAATGGTTCAGATATCTGAATGGTTCAGCACTTAATAGTTCAGACTGTATGTTTCAGCCTCTTAATGGTTCAGATGTCTGAATGGATCAGACATTTGCTTCTAAATGGTTAAGTATTATACAAAGTCTGAATGGTTAAGACCTCTTATCTGAATTGATCAGACATTTGCCTCTGAATAGTTAAGCAATATACTAGCTCTTAATGGTTCAGACCTCTTACTGGTTCAGCATTTAATGGTTCAGACCTCTTACTGGTTCAGCACTTACCTATTCAAAAGTTGCCAAACAGCCCCTAATTGTACAATGGATTTCCGATACAAACATGTCTTGCTTGTGTCAAATGAAATTTGTTTATGCAATGCTATTTTTGGTTAACGTACACCAACTAAGCATACAAAATAAACCAATCAAGACTGTTTTATCAAAATGTCCAACATTGATTAAAAAACAATCTAATAGATTAAATATACTCAAAATGTGACTTAATTACCCGCCAAACCCCTACATTTGACTAGTACAATTTCAAGAAGAAAACACAGCCTCAACTAGGAAATGCTTTATATGGGGAAATCCCATACCAATCATATGGTTAACGTACACTCTACCATCCTTCACGGTGGCTGCAGTAGACAAACGATGAATGGCACTGCCTCTAAACTTCCCGACAACCCTCGCACTTTCCCAATCATCAGAGCTCTCAAGCATCCTTGTCGGGTTTCCAGCTACAACGACCTTCTTGGGCGAAACAAGTTCCATGCCATCTCCAAAAACCAACGACGACACGTTCACGACGCTAATGACCTTGGCTTCGTCCCCATTTGGTGGTAATCGAACCTTATACAAATTGCCCGAGAAAGTGTGGACAACTAGCAAGTACCCGTTTGGATGATACACTATGCCATTGAGTCCCACCAACCTCTTGTACCATTCTTTAGGAGTGAATAAGGGACTCCTTATTATGTGCTTCAACTCTCCATCTCTCCCAATCTTCCATATCTTACCGCCTCTAGTGTCTGTTATATATGCATTCCCAACCTCATCAACCGCCACATCATTTGCAAATGATTTTTCATCCTCTGCACCATAAAATTAATCAAGTGTTGTTAATAAATACTCTCTCTGACTCTCTGTCCCAAAAAGAGTTTGCACGTTGTTGTTTAAGAGGTTTCACTCACATTATTTTCAATTCAATTTATTTGAAAATTATTAAGGAATCAAAAGTTCTACAAAATAAAAATGATAAGATTATACTCATTCAAAAGTTCTACAAAACAAAATGTAATAGTTTATCAAATGGGTCAAGAAAATAAGTCAAGAACATGGTTAATGCCTATGAATAGTAAACATATAATTTAAACTACGACAGTAAAACATGTTTAATTTATTGGAGTACGTAAGAATGGTGACATTGCGGCGGATAAATGGAAAATGAAATTGTTGTTAAAACCCAAAAGTTTAAGAAAAAGTAACCTGCGCCGCTGAGTTTAGTGAGAAAGAGCCGATTCCACGTTGACAAATCGTAGGCTGCCACTCCACTGAACCGATTCCCGATGACGTCGGAGATCGCCACCAAAATACGGTTCCGGCGCCGGTCAATAGCGAGGCCGAGCGAGGAATTCCCGGACAAGTCTGCATCCTTGACGACAGGAGTTTCAAGGAGCATCGGCGGCGGTGAGGCAGGGTCGCCGCCGTAATCGACGGGGACAGGGATCTGGCCGACGCCGCCGTCGAAGAAGGTGACTATGAATCGACGGCCTTGCTCGTCCCACTTGGCACACTCCCGGAGCCAGCCGGTGCTGTGGTACTCAATAGTGCCGGTAGCCGTCTTGCCGGCGGTTTCGAGATGAACGATGACGGCGATGGGAATGGCTGAGACGATAAACAAGAGTAACATGAACTTGGACGAGCATAATAAGGAATTAGCCATTGTGAATTCACGCAATTGTAGAGATTATTTATCAATAGGGGAAGAATCCAGTAATAGATTTAGTAAAGTTGACGGAGGAGTGGGAGGACCTCATATTATATACTCCGTATAAAAGTAATAAAACCAACAAATAAGTTTAGTTTTTGGGATGAAATTTATTGCCCCCCTTAGAAACTTTGAATTTTTTCTCATCCCAAAATTTCCTTTTTCGTCCTCTAAAAACAAAGGGTTTATCTTCATAAAAGGTTAGAGATAACCTAGACCTCGCAATGATCGGTTCTGATTTGAAATTATTCGCTATCACGGAATATGTTTTTAATCACTTTGGATCGGTTCTGATTTGAATTTATTCGCTTTGACGGAATATGTTTTTAAGCAGTTTGGATCGGTTCAGATATCTTTTTGGATATACTCCCTCCGTCCCTAAATATTTGCCACATTTGTATTCCCGAGGCAAAATATCAAGTTTTTTCAATTCATTTTATTTACATATTGGTATAGAAATAAAAAATAAAATTTACATATAAAAAACTATATGAAAAGTTCTTTGAAATAAGAGGTGTCAAGAATATTTTATTTTATCAAATGACCAATGAAAACGTAGAAATAAACAAAAGTTCCCGCGATTGCTGAAAAAGCAAACGTTGAAAATAATTTGGGACGGAGGAAGTATGTTTTAATCTATTCGGATTAATTTCAGTTTACAGTTTTCGATTCCAGTTTGATTTCAGGTTGGTTCATAGGGTTTGGAAACCAATTAGTTCAGATGGATTTCATATATATTCCAATCGGATATATATTGGTTTCAGATATATTTTGGTTTGAGATATAATTTGATATAGACACATTTTGCATATATGTTATTTTCAAATTAAATTTAATTGTCCAAGTCACTTTTTTGATCGTGAAGGCATCACCTCATATAGTCTTCCATTTTTACTTTTTAGTCATATTTTAGAAATTTGAACTACAAATTATGAAAAAACTATATTTAGTAATGAAATTGAATGTAATTGGTGAAATTAGGTGAAATTAATTAAAATTCACTCAATTTTACTCCTAAAATTTAGTGCAACTGAATGAGATTGAATACAATTGAGTGAAAAATTTAGTGAAATTAATTGAAATTCAATCAATTTTATTCCTAATTAGATGAAGTTGAATACATTTATGTTAAAAATTAGGTGAATTTGGATGCATTTTGTTGATATTTAATAAAATAAAATCCAATTAGATGAAATACTATCAATTTCATACCTAAATTGAATGCAATTGCATATAATTGGATTGCATTTAAGTAATATTAAATGTTATGAAGTTTAATTTTTAATTTAATTTTCTTACAATGCAGTGCATGAGTTCGAGTCAAGGACGTACAGAGATAAAAGCTAAATTAGACTATTTCAATCAATTAAGATTGAGTTTAATGAGATAAAAGTTAATAAAATTAAGTAAAACTTAGATAAATTCATTTAAATTTATGTCAAATAAGTGTCTCAGTTGGTTAAGACTAAAGTGATTATAGAAAAATTGAGTGGAATTTGATAAATGACTTACAATTTGGTTTAAATGTGTTGAATTGAGTGAAATTTAATGTAGTTAGATAAAATATTGGTGAAATTGAATGTAATTTAGTGAAATTGAGTAAATAAGTTTAAAAGAAAATGTGATCAGATGTAATTAGGCAAAAATCGAGTTTCTTCATGTAATTTAGTATAATTTTAGTAAATTTCATTAATGGTCCTTTGTAATCATAATTTATTTTTGAACAGAGAGAATAAATAATATAACTAGCTGAAATGGTAAAATAAAAATTTGAAATCACATGAATGTAATTATGCACTAATGTACATAAATATAATATGTTTAATGTAAGGAAGAATTAGTTCTGGATTTGATCGGTTTTGGGCATTATTAGTTTCGGATCTTATCGGTTTCAGGTTTTATAAGTTTTAGGTATTATTGGTTTTGGATATTATCGAGTTCGAGTTTAATCGGTTAGATCTGATCGGTTTCTTATTTTAATCGGGTATCGATATTATTAGTTCAGTTTTGGTTCAGTTCGGATCATTTCAATTTTTCAGTTATAGATCGAATCTTCACTTTTCGGATCATTTGATTTTATCTGGATCATTCGGTTTGTGTAGTCGGTTTTGGTTCCGTTTTGCAAGGTCTAGAGATACCGTTTAAAAAAAAGTTAATTTAACGGCATCTTTTAACTTTAGTACTTTCAAAGATAATTTATAGGCATGTTTGAAAACATCTTCAATGTTTAGCTTTAGTATTTTGAAAAGACTTTTTAACAACAAAGTTTAATTGTAGCATTTCCAAATCAATTTACACTGTAGCGTTAAAATTTTATCCAAAATTCTAAGGCTAATTGAAAATGTTGTTTTGAAACGAAATCTATACCATTAGAGGTTTTAGAAATCATCAAAAGTTGGATTAAAACTATTAATCACTTTCCTTATTCTATTATTTTTATAATTGTTATTCTACTATGATTAACATTCTCTCTTATATTCTCTATATATAAAGATAGAACTTTCATTATTCAATAAAGCCAACTATTACCAAATCATATCATGGCATCAGAGTTAAGGTTTCTTTCACAAACCTAGCCTTTTTTTATCAGAAAACACATTATCTCTTCTTTTTCAGTCGACTAATGCTATGTCGCTCGATCTCCTCGCCTCTATTTTACCGGAGTCAAATTTCTACTCTAGAACCATCATAATCTTTACACCAAAAAATTCACAGATACAAACAACCATGCATGGTCTCTAAATGTTCAAACCATGCTTGAGGCCAATATCCTGTTGGGTTGGAAGGAGTTGCAACTCTTAATGATGATCACGATGGAAGGAGTTGCAACTCCTAATCTTGCTTATGCTTCGTGGATCATGATTAACACTCAGATTCAGGCATGTCTTCTTCCCATCATCATTCCTACCATTCATAAACATGCTCCTAGCTTTATCACCTTGTTAGATGTCTTAGCAACAAGGTACAACTCCGTCCCTATTGCTCAGATCTATCAACTTTGTGAAAAGATACCCAGTCTATGACACAATACCTTCATGAAGTTTCCACTATCCTTCTAGGCCTAGATGCCTTACGTGAACACGTCCCTGAATGTGATGTTGTCAATGCCATTATCCGTGAGCTCCTTGCATAGTGTGCTTCTTTCAAACAAAACATTTGTCTACAAAAAGGAGAAATTACTCTCAATCAACTTTCTCGATGGCTCACTTTGGAGGAAATTAATATTGAGATGGAACAGAAGCTTATCCTGATTGAATCTTCTTTCGGAGAGATGTGCACTACCTTGGTCTCTATAGGCGGTCAAGGCCGTGATCAACCATCGTCTTGTCACAACTATTACAACTCAGGTCACGGGCAAAGTTGTGGTCGTAGGTCTGGCCGTGTTCCACCTCGTGATCTTCCTATACGTACGCCAGATTTGTGACAAACAAGGACATTCCACCATATGTTGGTACCACTGTGATGAATCTTATGTTGCAAACTCTTTTATGAGTGGCCCTTGTGTAGCATGCATCCATTAGCAATCAATTTGGAGATTGGTATATGGACACATGTGCCAACACCCATGTTACACATGATTATTCATAGCTCCAACCTCCTCATCCATGTACTGATACTAATACGATTACTGTAGGTAACAGTCACATCCTCCTAGTCACACACAGGCGTATGCTCGATTCATACACTCCATGGTGAATATCATCTCTCTTCCCTTCACCATGCCTCCTCTCTTACATCCAATTTACTATCTTTTCATCATTTTATAAAAGACAATAAATATACCCTTATTTTTAATGCCAATGAATTTCAAATAATGGACAATAATATCAACTAAGTGCGGTACAAGGGCTTCTGTGAGCAAAACAATGAAAAATAATGAAAATACCAAAATAGGAGTCATAAGTCCATTAAATACTTTTATAATTTGTTACGGAATACTCCCTCCATCCTTAAACCATCTTCCCACTTCCCTTTCTTCTCTGCTCATAAATTATCTTCCTATTTCATATTTTAAGAAATTTTATATGTTTAAAAGGCTTAAATACCCACAGTCCCCACTCTGTTTTTCTTCCTACTCTACCGCTCCAGTAGCCACCCCACTCATTTCTTCTTCTTTCTTTTGTTCTTTTCTCACATCTGATTTTGTCCAGCCACACCCTCTTCTTCTTCTTCTTCTTCGATCTTCTTCTTCTTCTTTTTCTTCTTCTTCTTCCTCCTCCTCCTCCCACAGGACATCATCAATAGGGATATATATGATGTTTGAGGGTGTAAACCTTTCTTTATTTGGATGGATCTCATAACGTTGTATCCTATCTCCACAAATATGAAGATTCCAATCTAGATCTAAGAGGAAGGTGGAGATGACGACATCCTATTGTGGTGCAGGAGGAGCTACGATTGACGGTGGTGAGTTAAATCAGAAGGACGACACCTCAAGTTTTAGACTTGGATGGACATGCCAATGGTGAGGGCGAGAAGGTTGGGTGGAGGCGGACCAATTGAGAGGTTGAGAGGGTTGGGTGTAGGGTAATTTAGGAAAGTCAATCTTTTTTTCATTTCACATAAATTTGCACATCGAGTCAAAGTGGGAAGATTAATAATGGACGAACGGAGTAGTATATTTTTGTTTTTTGTTATTTAGACTATTCTACAAAACCCCATATGATAAAAAATATTACATACTACATAAACATACGTATTTGTGCATTTAAACATTCATTTTAGATAGAAATATGTCTTATACTTTGAGATGTTAATAGAAAAATAAAATATAAAAAAAATTGGGAAAAACTATGTATATAACGGATCAGATACATGAATAAACGATTACTCAAATGGATGTATATGTGGAGAGGATTATAAACATATCAGAAGTATGATTACGAAATGCGTATCCGTTTATCAATCAGATGTTCTAAATTAGATACAGATAATAACCGCTTTAAACATATGTAGATATTTTCCGTGAATATGGATATAGATGTGGATGGTAATCAAACTTTTGGTTATTCAAATAGAATATACTCAGTCTATACTCTGTATAAATAGAATATACTCAACAAATGACATTCATAATATTTTTATTTTTATTTTTCAAATAATATTTTGCACTATAGTTTTCACTTTTCTAACTCCGTATTTCTAAATATTTGTGCGATCATACGAATTTTTAATTTGGAGTTGAATAATGTCCCAAACAGGACACTATAAATGAAACAAAAGAGCAAAAATACTCCGTACGTACATTCACTAGGTGCAAATACTTCCTTTCTTTTTAATCTTCTCAGTTGATTTTTCACGGTGTTCAATTAAATTTGGAGTTGAATAATCTCCCATCAATATGACCATATGAATTTTTAATTTGGAGTCCATCATTATTAATAGATAAATATATACTCTCTCCATCCCTTTTGAATAGGGCTGGACACGGTCTCGGTACGATACCGTGATCGGCAACGGTACCACCGGTACCCGCCACCGTCACCGCCGTCGCTCACGTGTCACCGGTTCCGAGAACCGGTACCGGTACCACCCACTTCGGTACTGGTTCCGGTACCCATTTTTCGGTAATGGCACTGGCGGTACCGGTCCGGTTCCGGTACCGGTATAAGTTTTTTTTCTTTTGCTTCCTCCAACGGACACCTGCCAACTAGTGCCAAGGGCTGCCATACCTGCCAAAAAAAACAGAGACAA